TTTTAATCCATTTTCCTTGGTTTTCCATTTACCGTTATTATTATTATTATTTTTGTGCCATTTATTGATATTGACATTTCTTTTTTTATTGTATAACATTAAATTTCTATAACTTGTTTGCTTTTCTTTACAATACACAAATGTTTTACTCAATAACCATTTCATTAAAATTAGTTATATTTCCTGCATTGGAAAAGGATCTTAATAAGATAAACAAAAATAGATAACTAAAAATAAGCAATTAATAACAATGAACATCTATTTACTTAATGAAACACCTTCTATAGTCAAGTCTTCCAGTTCATTTGAATCACTAATTAAATACATTAAATCTTCATTTATTTCCCCTAAGCAATTTTTATCATTTTCTATTTCATCATAATATCTTCCATCTAACACAATAATCTTATTGCTTATTTCATTAGTTTTAAAATTTTTAAAAGTTTTTAAAGTAACAATACAATAATTACTAAGCTCTTCAACTTCTTCTCTTGTGATATTTTCATTAACTTCAATTATTACTCTATTCCCAATTAACACACTTTTTAAGATATTAATAAGTAATTGATAATCAGTAAATCCTTTAATGCATACAAGCTCAACATTGTAACATCGGTTTATAAACATTTCCCTAAAATCAAATGAAACTCCATCAAAATCTAAACAAAGTTTATATAATAATGGGAAATAGTCAAAGTCTATTTCATCATAATAATATATTTTTGTTTCTATACCAACAATTTGTTTTCTAACATTCATTATAACTTCATAATCATCAGGTAAATTAATAATTCTTAATTGTGAAAATTTTATAATATCTTCTTCATCAATCCATTCCACACATCCTTCCTCATCAAGTTGTGTCATTTCTTTTCCATCAATAGTAGCTGCAATGGCTTGTGGAAATAGTTTTGAAATAACAAAAAAATCTTTTTTTAGATTTTTTCCTTGTTTATTTACTGTTTTAAACAATGGAATTACTTTCATTTCTTCTATAGCCATTTTAACTTTTTTATTTACTTGAATAAGTTGTTTCACTGTTGTTAGAGAAACATATGGAATTATTCGTTGTATTTGGGTGGCATTCAACATCTTTAAAGGAATATAATAATTTGTTGTTTCATCTAAAAAAAAATCTTTTATTTTCTTCCGGAAAACCAACCATTGGTCACAATAGTATTATTACTATAACAAAATAATATCTTTTTTGTTGGTGTAATCTCAAAATATAAATTATCAAAAGATTGAGTTGACGTAATAATAAAAAAAAAACCAATTGAAAATAAAAAGTAAATGACGTAATAATAAAATAAAAAAACGGGTTTTTTTTTTAAATCACACGATTTTTTTTTATGAAAAAAAAACACTTCTCTTTTTCTAAAAATACAGTAATAAAATTAGAAGGAAATAGAAGAAGAGGAGAATAAAACAAAAAAGATAAAAACGAAAAAAGTGAATTTTGTTTAATCTAAAAAGTAATAAACTATCATTTTTTATTAAACTATGGATGTGAAACAGTATTTTGACTGTAAATCCAACTCAAAATTTATTCTTGATTTCGATTCATTAAATCCTGTCCTACATGATTTCAGTAAAGAATGTATATTATCAATTCCTTATCCAACGAAAAAGGAGATTCGTTTGTTTTTTTTTTCGATTATATTAAGACAATGAGCTATAATCATATAACATTAATTAGAGGCTTTTACCCCTTTAACACATAACCAATTAATGCATATTGCTGTTGTATTAGTTACTCATCAAAATGTACACAATGTATTTTCATCAGTTGTACCTAATGATATGTTTGTTTTATTCTTTTAATACTTAAGAAGTTAATGAATAAACACTAACCAAGTTGTTTAGACCAGAAAACATTTTTTGGTGTAAATATTTTCGTTTTCTTTATACAAAATGTGGAAAAGAAAAACAATATCAAAAAAAGATTCGTGCTCGAGATCGAAAACGAAATGACCAATTGGTTCATGTACTTTCATTATGGAAAAGTTTAATTAATAATATTAAATCTGAGATATCTCATACTGTTAATCCAAGAGAAGGTTTACTTATTCTAAGTGGTACTAAAGAATGTTTGCAGTGTCATCCAAAATTGGTATCGGATGTAATTAAAGTTGTATTCCCTTTTGCTTCATCTAAATCAACAATGTTTAAACGAACTTCATTTATGTTAACTTCTCCAGTACAATTACGAATTGGTTCTTTAAATGAAGATAGAGTTACTACTGAAAATAGAGATGAGTTAAAGTCTCAAAAAGACAGAAATATTATTAATATTTTTATTAATGATGTACCAGAAGACCATTTAAGAACATCTATTGATAGTAAAACAAGAACATCATTAGACCTTATGGCGTTTGAAAGAAAGACCTCAAGTTCATTTGGAAGTCATGTTATCGAAAGTTTAAGCGAAAGACCAAGAATGAGTGTTACTGAGTTACAAAGGAATTCAATCACATCAAGTGATAGTGATATTCCAGCACATAGATTCACTGTTAGTGTATTTAATATCCTTTTTGGTAAATTAAAATCACACAAACTTCAATTTGTTGGTCCATTACTTAATTTATTAGTAAAACATTATTCTGGATTAGAGGCATATGTTATTACTCATTGTTTTGTATGTAATTGTCTTTATAGAGGACTTTATCCATATACTATTGTCCAATTTGATTATTTTTTTATTGCATTTGATGAGTTAGTAAGAGAGAGATTTCCAGATTATGTTGACTCCTTAACAGTGTCTTTAGTTTCAATTTATGAAAACCTCTTTACAAATTTGTTAATCCCATTATTAGATTCAATAGATAAATTCATTGCCCTAACAATTCTTGAATATCTTTTATTGTATGGATATCCATTTGCATTAAAAATTATTCTTATTTTAATTGAACAATCATCAACTCCACCTAAGCGAAGTGAAGAAGTAATCCCAACATTTTCTAAAGTATTAGAATATGATGCACCAGGAGTGATTGCTCAAACATTAGACCTTCCATTTCCTGATTATGCAAATTACCATTTCTTATTACCAATTAAGGAATCAGTTCATTCTACAAATACACCATACACTTCAGAAAATAAAAACCTTCATTTTATTCAAGAAAGAATGACAAACCTTACCCTTCCTAGTGATATGATTCCAGTTAATAGTTATGTAAATTTTGTATCAATGTTACCAGACAGATTTGCAATAATGGATTTTACTTGTCTTTTTTCAACAAAAACTGATGGCTTTTCTTTAAGTAATTTATACTCTTTATGTGCAGCACGTTCTCCATTAATTATATTAGTCAGAGATGATACTGGTGCACTTTTTGGTGGTTACGTATCAGACCCAATCAAAATTCATCGCCATTATTATGGCACAGGAGAGTCTTTCCTTTTTACAATTGAACCTCATACTAAGAAATATAGTTCAACATCAGCAAACAATTACTTTATTATGACAAACTTAGACAAATTTATTATGGGTGGAGGTGATGGTTTCCCTGGTTTAGGATTCAATAGATCATTAGAAGGTCAAACATATACTTGTCCGACATTCAAAAATGAACCATTAACAGTTAATGAAAATTTTAAAACAATAAGACTAGAGATATGGACATGTGCATCTGTTGCCTTAATAAGTAATTTCTCAGAATCAGAAAGTGCCTCTTCATCAAGACAATCTATTGATGGAGGAAATTTGTAATTAACTTATTTCATCCATTTATTTTATTATAATTTATAATAAAATTTACTATTAAAATAATAAAAATAAAAGTATTGATAAAAAAGTGAATTTATTATTTGCTGGTAATCAATTTAACGAAATCATCAACATTAATCAACCCTTCTTCAACTCCAATTTCTTTTAAAAGGTCATCTACCTCTTGTTCAGTAAGTTTTTCTCCAAGAGTAGTTAAAACATGTTTAAGCTCTGAAGCTGAAATGTAGCCATTCTTTTCTTTATCAAAAATTTCAAATGCTTTCTTAATATCTTCCGTTGAATCTACTTCTTGTCCATATTCTAACATAATAGTTAAAAATGTTTCTTGATCAAATTTACCACTATTATCTTTATCATAATCTTTGACTATTTCACTAATCTTTTGTTTTGTTGGATTTGCTCCAAGTGCACGCATAACTGTTCCGAGTTCTTCAGCTGTAAGCTTATTATCATTATCCTTATCAAACAATTGGAATGCTTCTTTATATTCTTGTTGTTCTTCTGCAGTTAATACCTTCTTTTGTTCACTCATTTAATTGAACCTTTTTTCCTAGTTCTTTTTTTCTCCATTTTTAATCTTTTTCTCTTCTCTTCACCTTTTTTAAGTTCTAATTTTCTGTTAGTATAATTTTTCAATAAAAACTATTACTATTTCTAACTTATTTTAAATTTATCCTAATAAAAGAAATTATTTAATTATATATAACAAAAAATATGATTCAATTATTTCATTGAGTCACTGCTCATACTTAACTGCTCTTGATAAGAACTATTATTACTATCACTTTCTGTTGTCATTGAATAACTCGCTGAAGAATCCATAATTGCAACAGTTCCTGATTTTCTATTTTCTTCTTTAATTTTTGTGATTTCATCAGCATAACCAGAAACAGTTCCTTTTATATGAACAACAAGGTTTTCATGGAGTTTAAACTCATGGGGATAAAACCAATAGAAAATTACTGAGGAAATCATTACGATATTGAGTAATACTCCTCCTAATATAACGGTTAATGTAGAAGACAATAATCCAAGAACACAACAAGACGCACAAAAAATAATTGTTGGAGTTGCATATAAAACAGCCAAAGTTAAGTTACATCCAAATTTATAAGGACGATGAAGATTAGGGTATCTATAACGAAGAAGGATATAGGCAATACAAATGAATAAAACTCTAATTGCATAAAACGCTGAATCAACACCAACTAATTCATCAAAATTCATTGAAGCAGATAAAATAAAAATTAAAACTCCTTGAAGAATAATAGAAACTTCAGGGGTATTAAATTTTTTATTCACATGTCCGACATATTTTGTTATTAATTTATGGAAATCAAGTTGAATAAATCCATGGAATAGTCTTGAAGCTGTACATAATAAGGTTAATAAAAATCCTAATGATGATATTAGTCCTCCTATAAACATTAACCATGGAAGTGATTTTGCAATCCATCCAATAGAAATTTTTTCACTAATAGATACAAATGAACCTTCTTGCCATTTAGCCCAATTGTCATCTAAAATTGTACCAACAGAACATGGAATAATATATGTTAATACTGTCATAATAACTAACAAGAACATTGATCGTGGTACAGTCTTCTCTACATTTTTGACTTCTTCACTAATATTACCACAACCATCTACTCCATTGATATTCCAAAACAATACTGAAATTAATAATGACCAATTCATTTCTTTGAATGGTAATGTTTCAATTAAATTATCCCAATGTGCATTTGAATCAAATACTCCAACACAACAAAAAATTACAAATGGAGACAACACAAATAATGTAAATAAAACACTCATCTTTCCAATAATATCAACTCCAATTACATTTAATACAGTTGCAACAGATGTTACTCCAAATTTAATTAATACAATTGCCCATTGATCTAAATTTGGTACTTTTTCTGTTAGATAACCAATAAATAATGTAGGATATACTGCATTGTCAATTGTAGCACCAATTAATGAGATAATAGTGATAAACATAGTAAAGAAATTAGAATATGGAGACATTGAGGATGTCACCCAATCAACTAACCCTCCATTTGATGGTAAACTAGAAGATAGTTCTGCTGTAATCAAACAAATAGGTAGCATGACTAATAGAGAAGAACATATCATGATAATTGTAGATACTAAAGGACCAACAGACTGAACTAAAGGTTCAGCTCCATATGCTCCTCCAACAACAGAAATAAAAAGAATTCCTGTTAATTTCATTGTTCCAAGAACTTTTGGTTTAACGTCAGTTTGGATTGTATTAATTTCTACACTATGATGGTCGGCGGTGGTTTCTTCTTTTTGATTATCAATAATGTTCGGTTTTGAATATTGTAAATCATTCATTGATTTTTTAAGATGAAAAGTTTAGGGTTTTTTCTTCAATTGTTCTCTCATAATCTTCTTGTATTCTTCAACTTATTTTTCATCCTTTTAACTTCAAAGAGAAAAAAGATTAGTTGTTTGATACTTTTCTGAAAAGCTTTTCTTGATACGGAAAATTTTTGAAACATACTACTTTAAATTAAGACATTTATTTGATACAAGCCATTCTTATATGATAAAAATAAGAAGATAATTCTTTTAATAAAGTATTTTCTTTATTGTTTAACATGAAAAATACTTTTATTTGTTAATTACATAATTATTAATGAAAGTTAAAATATATTAAAGAAAACAATCAACCATATTCAAATAAATTAAAGCTTTGCAGCTATACACGCTATTTGTTGTCTTCGTGTGTTTTCAGCATTTGTCCTAAAAGGTGGATAACGTAAAGCAGTACGTTCACCATTAATCATTTTTTGCATCAAAAAATCTCTGAATTTCAGATCCATACGATAAACACCACTATCAAGATAAGGGGGAAATGGAGAGATACTAGGTTTTGTTACAACAGACACTCGACAAAATTGGTCAATTAATCCACTTGTATCTAATGTACTTTTATCACCTCCAACTACTTGTTTAGAGCTAGCAATACTTTCTAAAGTCATTCGATCAATATATTTAAGAGCATCATTAGATTGTGTAGAGTTAATAGGATTAGAGCTAAGTGAGTCACTTTCTTTTAAATCAATACCTAATGTTGTGTATGCTTCTTCTTTACTAATTGGTTGAACAATAACAAAAATGTGGTTAAAGTGTGAAGTAAATAACCTTGGGTCAAAGTGTTTAACTCCTTCTTCTAAGAAAACTAATACAACAATATCATTTCCAATATGTCTTTTACGTTCTAATTTTTGGATGTCATTATCATTTGTTGGTAATAAAGGGGCAACATGAAACATAACTTCATTATTAAAATATTTTGTGTAGAAACTAAATTCACCAGTTTCATTAAATTTAGTATCTAAACCTCCACTATAGGCACCAAATCCTTCTAATTTTATTTTGTCAGCAATTAAAAACATTAATTCATAAAATCGTTTTGGTATTTCATCATTACCAAAGATGGCATTTTCATCTTGTCCTGGTTTAACACAAACAACTCCAAATTTATATTTTCTTACTGTTGACCTTTGTTCAATTGTTAATAATTCATCATCAATTTGGGGAACATTTGAATATTTCATGATTTTAGCTCCTCTTGGGAAGATATTTCTATATTTTGTTGGGTCAGTGTCAGGTGGAATAACTAACTTAACATATTCTTTACTTGTTCTCAAAATAGCTTTTTTGTATTTTTTACTTTCATCTACAGAAAGAAGTATTGAATCTTCTTTATCCAAATAATGTTTAACAGTTTCTAATAAAAATTAATTACTAAATTTTTTGTATAACACAAATTATAAATTTAATCAAACAAACTTTTATTGTAAAAATATGTTTCATAAAAAGGAAATTCGGTTTCTGCTTCAATAATTGGCATTTTACTATTTCTTCTTTCTTTATGAAAGGTAACTGAATTTTGATTGGTTTCAATATTATACCTATCTTGAAGAATATTATCATCAACCATTTCATTTGAAACTGGTGCAAATGTCCAATCTTCTGAAGTATAATAAACTGATGACCATGGGTCAGTAGTTAATATATCAAATGATGTTGAATCAATCAAACTAAATAAATGTTCTCTAGATTTTAATGATTTTCTATTAAAATAAATAACATCCTTAATTGGATAAATTGCTTTAATTTCTTTATTAAAATGGCATAATAATAATGTAGGTGTAATTTCAACACATTTATCTACCTTACTCATTTTTTTTTCTATTTGCTCTTGTTGTTGATTTTCAAGTAGCTTTTGATATTGCTCCTCTTCGTATTGCTTTTGTTCTTCCTCAGCTCGTCTTATTTCTTCAGCTTTTTCTTTTTCTTCTTGAATCCGTTTTTCTTCTTCTTCTTTTTGAAGTGCCTCTTTTCTGATAGTATCTGCACTAGTCATATTTGGTTCATTTAGTAAATCGTCTATGTCTATCTCATTATTTGAATTTGGTGGTATGTCCATTCTTCTCAACGATCTTGTTTTTAGTTTTCTTTTTTTTTTCTTCTGTCGTCCATTCATTCTATTTTCTATGTTTTCTTTTTTCTCATTTAATTTAATATATTTTATTTTATATAATTTTGATACTTTCTATTTAACCAATATAAATTGTGATATATTTATTTTAATGAATGACTAAACGTTACCAAAAAATATGTATAAATTAATAAAGAAAAAACACAAAAAAATTCAATGGTATATGACAAGATACTATCACGAAAAAATCTCTTGAGAAGAGACAGAGAATGGAATTTGTAGAAGTGGAACACATTAATTCAATAATTGACCAATTTATTCAAAAGAAATATACTCATTTAGGTGGGTTGTTTTATGTTTATCAAATAAATAGATTTAATAAAAAGAAGACACGAGTAATTCAATGTACAGATGGACAATTAATCATTTTTTCTATTGAGGCTATCATCATAAATAAAGAAATTTATGATATTCGGCTGATTCAAGAAGTTCAAATGGATTTATCAAATACCCTCTTTCTAAGACTCAATCCTTTTCAATTATTAATTAAAACATCAGGTGGAAATTGTGTAATTCAATCATTAAGTACTGAAGAGATGGACATATTAATAGAAGGATTAATGGAGTCTGCTCGTTCACTTTCAATGAATTCGACAACAATTACCTGTGCTCAATTTTATTATCCCTCTTCAGTAATCCTTCAAGAAAATTAGGTTTTATGTTTGATTAATTTTTTATTCACAAATAACTTTTTAATTTTAACTTTTATTTGTTATATCTTTCTATGACAACAAAACAAACTGTTTCTTTAGTTATATGGCTTCCTGAATCAAAACAAAAAACCTTATTTATTTCTACAAAAGATCATACTCAGTTTGAATTAAATAATATAATATTTGATGTTACTTTATCAACTGAATTACCTGATAAAGAGCCTAATGCCATCATCACTAAAAGAACACACCCAGTAGGTAAAATGGCAGACGAAATGAGAAAATATGAAAAAGATCATCCAAAAGTTTTATTCTTAGAAAGTAGTGCAATTCATGACATGATGAATAGTAGAGAAGAAATTAATGAACTTCTAATTAAAAACAATATCCCTATTCCTAATTCGTTTAGTGTTAAATCAAAAGAAGAGGTAATTCAATTACTCCAATCAAAACAACTTATTCTTCCTTTCATTGTTAAACCAGAAAATGCACAAGGTACTTTTAATGCTCATCAAATGAAGATTGTGTTAGAACAAGAAGGAATAGATGATATTCATTATCCTTGTTTATGTCAACATTATATAAATCATAATAATAAAATTGTAAAAGTATTTTGCATTGGGAATACTCTCAAATGGCAAACAAGAACATCTTTACCAAATGTTCATAGATGCGGAATAAAATCTGTTGATTTTAATAATCAACATTTAGAAGATATACTTAGTTGGCCTGAAGGGGTAATAGATAAACAAGGTATTATTGAAAATTCAGCTAATCGTTTTGGTAGTAAAATTTTAGAAGACCCAATCTTGTTAAATTTGACAAGTGAAGCTGAGATGCGTGACTTAGCTTATAAAGTTCGTTGTGCATTAGGTGTTCAGTTATGTGGGATTGACTTTATTAAGGAAAATGAACAAGGGAGTCCTTTAGTTGTTGATGTTAATGTATTTCCATCTTATGGAGGAAAAGTAGACTTTGACTGGTTTGTAGAAAAGGTTGCGTTGTGTTATACTGAGGTAGCAAAAATTTAAATGTCTACAATATTTTGTTATTATTATTTTTTTATAGAATAGTTATAAAACTATGATAAAAATATTACTTTTCAATGAAAATAACTAAAAATAACAAGGAAAAGTCGATTAGTTCAGAAAAATTTTTCAAGATGAACCCTTGAGAGAAGACGCAAAAGAGAGAAAAAATGTTACCACGAGAAGATAATAACAAAGAAAAACAAGAGTAAATGGTAATGAAAGAAAAGAAAAGAATAAGAAAGAAATAATTATAGATTTAGAGATTGAACACTTTAGATTATAAACTAAAAAATAATATCTAAGAAAATATAAAATAAATGGCTGTCTCAGATAGTGCATTTTTCCAATGGTTTACAGACAACAAAGCGCCAGAGTTCTTTAATGAAGAACATGAAGAATTAACATTGTACTTATCTGGTTTTGCCATGACATTATTTACATTATTATTATTTGGACCATTATTCTATAGATTAATTAAAGTAATACTTATGCCAAAAACAACAGTACCACAAACAATTAGTTGGTTGTTTATCTTTCGAATTGTTCCAATGGTAGTAATATTTATGATTTGTTTGGCACGAGCAGTTATTCCATTATGTTATGGACTTATGAATTCTACTATTTATAAACAAACAGATATTAAATATTATGATCCAGAAGAAGGAATTGCTTATTATTTAATTATTCCAAATTTCCTTCTTTGTCTTGATTGGTTAATTGTAATGGTTGATTTTTATTTTGAAAGACAACGATCAGTATTCTTTGGAACATTTGTTCAAATATTTATTTTAGGACAAATGTTTATTCATTTATTATTTATTGGAACTGTTACTTCATCAGATTCACACAGAACATTTATTAATTTAATAAATATTCTTTTTATTGTCATTTATTGGATTGAAGTAGTTGCTTCTTTAATTCTCTCATTTTCAATGTTATTTAAACAAGACAACAGATTTATTAATCCTGAATATAAAAGAGTTGTTTCTTCAAATAAAGAAGAAAGGGATGCTGATAGATCTAATAGTCAAGAAGAAAATAATGACGGAGGTGATATTTATGGGTCATCAATTCATTTTACTCCAATGTCTAATACATCAGTTAGTCAATCATATCAAAACGATACTTTAGGATTATTAAGAAATAACCAACCTGTAGATTCTCGTGCAAAACCACAAAGAAGTTTCTTTGAAAAAGTAAAACATTTCATTGATTTTATTACATTTTCTAATATTAAAGAGATTTTAGGATTTAAAAGGGGGTATCAAAAAGGAATGACAATGGATGTTTCAGATATTGATCAATTAGATATAAAAAATAGATCTAATTATCTTGTTAGACAATTTGAAGTTGCTTGGGAAAAAGCAAAAGAAAAAACAAAACCTAAATTATTAAGAGTTATGTTTAAATTAAATGGAAAAGCAATGTTAATAGCTATTATCCCTAGACTTATTTTTGATATTACTATGTTTATTCCAATTGTTGCTCAAACTATTATGATTAGGATGGGATCTCAATGGCATTCATATCAAGATGGATCTTCATATTCTACAACTGTTTTTGAATCTGCTAGTTCTGAAGACTTAGATTGGAGATATAGTAGAAGTGCAGGAATGTTATTTGGTGTATTAGTTACTATTATTGCTATAATTTCATCTGTTTCTGGACATTACTTTAATTATATTACAACATTAGTTGGACAAAAAATGAGATCAACACTTATTATGGCTATGTATGAAAGAATATTTTCAATGAATGCTAAATCACTTTCTACTACACCACATGGTCAAATTCTTAATATGATGTCAGTTGATGCAAATTGTGTTAATGATATGTGTTCTCAAGTTCATTTGTTATGGTCATGTTCATTAGAAGTTATTATTTCTATTGTTTGGTTATTCTGTGTGGTTCAATGGTCTGCATTTGCAGGATTAATTATTATGTTCCTTGCTGTTTTTGCTAATGTTGTATTGGCTAGATTTATTGTAAGACAAATGAGAAAGTTAATGATTATTAAAGATACTCGTGTCAAATTATTAACAGAAGTTTTAAATGCAATTAAAACAGTTAAAGTAATGGTATGGGAATCTCATCTTCATGGACAATTACACGAAACAAGAAAGAAAGAAGTTAGACATATTTTATTTGTTATTGCATTCAGAAGTTGTATGAACTTTATTGTTTGGGCTATTCCACCTTCAGTTAGTTTTGTTACATACGGTATTATTACTATTATTGCAGGAGGTGATTCTGGAGCTCTTAAGCCAATGGATGCATTTATTACTCTTGGATTATTTAATATTATGAGACTTCCTCTTATTAGATTCCCTAAATTATTAAATGATACTATGCAAGGTGTTACTTCAATGAGAAGAATTCAAGAATTTTTATTAAAAGGTGAAGATCAAAAAGATAGAGATGCTGATAATGTCATTGTTGCAGTAGAACCTGCTTCACCAGATTCACCTGTTATTGCAGTAGAACATGCTAGTTATACATGGGAAGATAATGACTCAATTGCACTTTCAGACATTAACTTTACTGCTCAAAAAGGACAACTTATTGGAATTATTGGAGAAGTTGGATGTGGTAAAACTGCATTCTTTAAATCATTATTAGGTAATTTACACAAAACAAATGGTATGGCACTTTATAATGGAAAAATTGGATATGTAGCTCAAAATGCATGGGTTCAAAACCTTACTGTTCATGATAATGTAGTATTTGGAAAGAAACATGATAATGATTTATATGAAAAAGTTGTTGCTGCTTGTGAATTAAGAAATGATTTAGAAAATTTCCCTGGTGCTGATCAAATGGAAGTTGGTATTGGTGGATCTAATTTATCAGGAGGACAAAAACAAAGATTAGCATTAGCACGTGCTACTTATCAAAATGCAGATATTTATTTATTAGATGATTGTTTAAGTGCTGTTGATGCTAATGTTGGACAAAACATTTTCACAAATTGTATTAAAGGAGTACTTTCAGAGAAAACACGTATTTTAATTACTCAAACTTTCCAGTATTTACCAGAATGTGATTATATTTATGTTATGAAAAATGGAACTTTCATTGAAAAAGGTACTTTTGAAGAATTAAAAGCAAATCAAAATAGTGAATTTTCTAGGTTATATTCTAATTATGTTGCTAATGTATCTCATGGTGATGAACATGGAAAAAGAATTCTGAAAAGAAAAGTTAAAAAAGGAATGAAAGCATCTCAATTAATTGCAAAAGAAAATACACAAACTTATGCTGGTTTTGGAACAATGTTAACATATATTAAATATGGTGGATGGGTTTACTTTACTTTTGTTATGTTATTCTTCTTTATTTCATCATTCTTACTTATTGGATCTAATTTCTGGTTAGTTATTTGGACTGATGAAGAGAAAAAGAATAATTCTGCTTTCTTTAGAGAGTTAAATGGATATGAACTTGTTGGATCTTATGGATTGATTGTATTTGTTGTATTGATATTTATTATTATTCGTTTCATCTCTCTTGGAGCATTTAATGGAAAAGCATCTATCAATCTTCACTTTGATGCATTAAATCGTGTTCTTAATTCACCAATGTCTTTCTTCCAAGCAACTCCAATTGGAAGAATTTTGAATAGATTTAGTGAAAACTTATTTGTTATTGATGATAAAATTAATTTGTCATTAGCTCAATTTATTTCTTCTGTTACTCTTTCTATTGTCACTGTTATTATTACATCTATTTCATGTGATATGATGCTTGGTGTTTTTGCTCTTAGTATTTATTGGTTCTTCTATGTATTTAATTGGTATATGACATATGCAAAACAATTACTAAGATTAGACATGGTTTATAGAAGTCCTTTATATAACACATTCCAAGAGACATTACTCGGATTAGATACTATTCGTATCATGAAGAATAATCATCGTTTCACTTCTATTTTATCAGAAAAATTAAATAAACAACAAAAAATTTATTATGCTACTAATGTTTGTCAACGTTGGCTTGGAATGAGAGTTGAATTAATTGGATGTGTTGGACTTGGTGCTGTTGTTATTTTCAGTTCAATGAGAATTTCTAGTATCTCACCATCACTTATTGCTTTACTTATTCTTTATATGTTCCAATTCAATAATATTTTGAATCAATTAATTCAATCATCTGTTGAAGTTCAAACACAATCTACTGCTATTCAAGCTGTTTGTGAATATTTGACTTTACCATCAGAAAGAGGAATTAAAGAAACTGATCCAACTGTTACTGGACATGTCCCAGATAATTGGCCAGAAGCTGGAGACGTTCAATTCCAAAATGTTACAATGACATATAATCCTGATTTACCACCTGCTGTCAATGAATTAACTATTCATGTCCGTCCTGGAGAAAGTGTTGGTATTGTTGGAAGAACTGGAGCAGGTAAATCATCCATTATGGTTACATTATTCAGATTGTATGAAATGACTTCTGGAAGAATTATTATTGATGGTGTTGATACTTCCACTCTTGCTCTTGAAACATTAAGAAGTAGATTATGTGTTATTCCACAAGAACCAGTTTTGTTCAGAGGAACATTAAGAAAGAATCTTGACATTCTTGGAAAACATACAGATGAAGAACTTATTCAAGCTTTAGATGATGTTAACATTAGAGAACATATTTTCTCAAAAGGAAATGGTCTTGAGACTGAAATCGCAGAAGGAGGATCTAATTTCTCTATTGGAGAACGACAATTAATTTGTCTTGCAAGAGGATTGTTGTCTAGATCAAAAGTGATTGTTCTTGATGAAGCTACTGCTAATGTTGACTTACAAACAGAAAAGAGAATTTTCAACGCATTATTCACACATTGTAAAGGAAGTACTATGTTCATGATTGCTCATCGTTTACATACTATTTTAACTTGTGATAAGATTTTAATGTTAGAAAAAGGACGTGTACTAGGATTTGGAGCTCCTGAAGAATTGAAAAAGACATGTCCAGAATTTGCTGCTCTTGTTTCTAAAACTGGTTTTGACATAGAAGAAGGAAATGAAGAGAAGAAAGAAGAAAAATTAATAGACATTGAACCTCCAACAGAAAAGAACGAACAAAAAGATGACCATCCTTCAACCCAACAACCAAGTATTCTTTAAATTTAAGTAAATTTTTAAAAGAGAATCAATAAAATTTTTTGGTTTTTATAACTAAATAAATATTGTTGGTTAGTGTTTTTAATAAAAACTAAATTTTGATAGTGGATTGAAAATATTATTAATAAAATAGCATTATCACAAAAAATAGTCATATGGTAATAAAAAATAGTTAATTATGTGTTAATAGGATTGTCATTTTTTCGTTGATTAATGGATATTAACAACTTTATACATCATTAAAATGGGTAATTTCTTTGTTTTATTTATTATTTAGATTTTCTTCTTGACTTTTGAATAAAACATTTTATTTTATTTTATTTCTTTTATTGTCTTTTCATTCTTCTTCTTTTTATTTTCTTCTTATCTGATTTTTACTTTAATGTTAATAAATACATTCTTTTTTTGTTTTCTAATTTTATGTTGATAGAACAATATCATTATGGTATTATTTATAACTTCATGTAGTATTAACATCATCACTTATTTCATTTTCTTTGTTATTATTTCTTCATATTAGCTTATTTCATTTTTTTATATTATTATTTAATACATTTCTTATTCAAACACATCATAATTCAATATTTGGTTTTTATAAATATTTGTGTGGAGTTTCATAAATGTAAGTTTCAACAAAACATGACATAAAGAAATAAAGAAATAAAAGAACTAAAAAAAGA